AGCCTTGTTGTTTTGTCTTGGACGCACCCAAAGAGAAAACGATGCAGAAGAAGGCTGCATTTGCCAAAAACATCCAAAAACAATTTTCGAATTGATTTGTACATGGGACATTCCCACACCTTCCAAGTTTCAATCCAGATACCATAAACACTTTGTCCTACATCCCTGAAGGTGGGCGCGGCACCTACATTTGGAGCTCGCCTCAACATGGCCAAGCTTCGCAGCGCTTCGAATTTGAAAATCTGCTGGCGCGTAAAGCCACTTGTTACACTGGACTTTTTTCAAATCTCCCTATACTTAACTGATCACCCCATCCAATACTTAACAAATGATGGGTGCTGTAAATTACACCAGGAATACCCAAAGAGGATCCTCCAGTTACCCAAAACTAAAAGTCTTCCGGGTGATATCACATTGACATGTAAAATCCAAATAAATGTTCAGAAATAGTTGGGAAATAGAACCATCCACCCAGCTATCCAACAATACTTCAAGTTTGTGGGGAACAGAAATCACCAAGTCACCCAGCAAGGGAACCTACCCTCTGGGTTGTGACTTATCATACCCCTGACGCAGCATGATTCCCAATGAGGTTGCAGTCGAACGGCGAGAATAGCAAGGAGCTGGCTCCCATCCGCCCAGTGATGATCCTTCCTGGGAGCATGGCAATGGAAGCTGACAAGATGTACCGACTGATGTGATCAAGTTTCACAAGACAGGGGTGGTGCCATGTATAGCCTAATGGAATTTGCGTGGTGATCTTCGATATGATGATTCCAATCTTGGCCAACTAAGTAAAAACAAATTTGAAAACAAAATCTCCAGTGACCCTGTTTCTTCCAAAAGGGCTATGGCACACAATGCCTACCAAATGGTGGGTCTGGGTTGCTTGCCCCTGCTGGCTCTTACTGGCTGAATGTCAGTGCCATGCCAGTCCGATGGCAGGCACAATATGGGTCATTTTGAACACCAATCCTAGGTTGGTGAGTTGAAAAAAATCAGCGGTAAGCCATTAAGCATAGTTGCATAATTGCCAACAGGCCAATCAATCATGAAATCATTGAAGTCGCAAGTTGTTCACAATTCCTTGAATTTACATTTGAGTTCAAAAGGGGTGCAGTAATTTTCTAGTGCCCTGGATCTCGCCGGATCCTTTGTCACATGGCGACTCAAGTGTCATCGTCATCAGAAGATGAAGGTCCAGTTGGTGGTGCTGGCAACATGCAAATATCAAGGAAGTTCAGTGTGGCAGACTACACAGACTTGCTGAGTCAATCTGGTGCACCAGATGGTCAAGGTCAAGGTGGCCAAGCAGCCTCGTCAAGTGGCTTGGCTGTTTTTCCTTGATGTTTCAGTTCCCCTTTTCCTTGGCTCCTATACTGAGATGGCCTGATGTTTGAAAAGTGCGTTGATAATTTGCTAATTGAAAACCTTTCCCTAGTTGAACCATCATATTTGTGTTTCCGTTGCCCAGGTCCCATGCCGACACAGGGTGGACGTTCATCTGTCCCATCTTTTGGACGTGTAGCCTTGAACAGTTCCTCAGACTCACCAAAGGGTGACGAAGATCAAAAGAGCAAAAAAGACAAAAAGGCAGAAAAAGACAAAAAGGCAGAGAAAGACAAAAAGGCAGAAAAAGACAAGAGCAAGTCGAAGAAGGACAAAGAAGCGAAGACTAAGGATGAAGATAATGAGAAGAAGCGAAAGAAACAAATTGATGATGACTCTGCTGATGAACACTTCAAGGGGCTTGATGATGACGAACCTGACAACGATGGGGCTGATGGTGATGATGGCCCAACCACACTTTCCAAGAAACCAGCAGCCAAGAAACCACGACAGAAGAAGCCTGCCAAGGAACCAAAGGGTAAGGAGAAGGAGAAGAAAACCAGAGGCAAGGGCAAGAAACATACTGATGGTCAGGAGAATGAAGGTGGTGAGGACAGCAGCCGGTTTGACAAGGCGCTCAATGGCATATCCCTGAGAGACATCGCAGCGATTGCAGAGACTGGCAAGGCTGACACCACAGCTTTGGAAAAAAAAGAGGACTGGGTAATACTGGGTTGTTTTGTCAAATTTTGATTCGAGCGCAATTTTTTCAGTGCAGTTTGCAGGATGACGTGGACTCCCAGAAGACCCTGCGCCTGGATGACTGCCATGACAACACCAGCGAGCAGGACTCTTATAATTTACAAACAGTAAACTTTGTTTTTGAAGGTGAGCCAACAACTGTGCCTGTAACTTTTGTTCTTTCACTTTTCAGCTTAAGCCTTGCACCCATCTGTGCCGAATCCCAATCCCAGGACCAAGCTGAGAACATCCCTGAGCCGAAGAAGCCTGAACCTGTGCTGTCTACACCTGCTCACACACCGGTGGCTACCCCATGCCGAAGTGACATCGAGACGCCCAAGGACTGGCAAAACATACTGTCAAAACATACTGTCAATTTTCCATTGAACTATTGTATTTGCACTATCTGTGTGTTTGGTGCTGTTTCATACCTTGCTTGCAGGTGGGAGTTTCTGACAATGATCGGATCATGATGGAAAAGAACCTCGCTCTTTCTGTTCGACCTGGATTCCAAGTACCCCTGAAAGTGCTTGAAAATGCACACATGAAGAAAAAAGAAAAGGAGGCAAGAGCTGCCCTTGAGAAGATGATGGATGAACAAATTTGGGGAAAGAGAAGGCAAGCAAAAGGAAGTGCCCACCAAGGAGCTGACAAGGAGATTGACAATGTCCCTGCACGTGACACTCAGGTGGACAATAAGATCAAAGAGCAGGACACCAAAGACACCAAGCTCCCTGCAGGTGATGTGCCACTTGAGATCAACAAGGAGGACGCCAAAGACACCCAGCCCCCTGCAGATGGCATGGTGCTGGAGATCAAAGAGGACAATGCGACCGACATGAAAGAAGCTGAAAGTTTGAAAGAACAGGAAGACAAAAATCAAAACAAAGAGACTTCTGACAATGCCCCTGGGGAGCACACAGAAGAGAAAGTGAGAAATGCAAAGGATGGCCCAAAGAACGCTGCACCGAAACCAAAACAGGATCGGCATGCAAAGAAAGTCTCAGCAGCAAAGGCAAAGGCAGGAAAGACAAAGGCAGCAAAGGCAAAGGCTACTGTGAAGAAAGAGCATGCCAAAGGTGAACAGATGACCAAGAAAGGGAAAGGTGAAGCAGCGGGCTCAAAGAAAACCAAGAAAGAAGAGCAAGAGTCGGAAGAGCATGAAGAAGAACTTGCAAAGAAGATCCACTGTGTGCCTCACCTGCTGTTTAGGTTCCTCCAGATCCCACACCATGTCTTTGATTTACACCTTACTTTCCAGTTTTTCACTGCATCCTGCCAAGGTATATTCAGCAGCGCAGAAAGCAGCAAAGGCAGAAGGAAAGTCGGCAGCAGATGCTTGGGAGTATGCCCAAGCAGCTCGCAAAGAGTACCTGGTCTTATTGTAGCATAGGCACATAAATCATGTTGACATAGGTGCTGCCAGTGCTGCCACTGTGTTTTCATGTCTTGTTTCATCATGTTTCATCCTTTTATCTTATATTTCCTGTCAATGTTCTTTGGTGCCCCTCATTCTCAGGTGGATCCTCAAAAATGGTCCGCGCAACAGCACTGTGGTCAAGAAGTGGCTGAACAAGTTCAATTCGTCCTAGGGATGAAGCAGTCGCTGAACGACTACACTTTAAATGGGTTCAGCAGCAGTTCAACAGTCCAAATTTCTGTTGTGCTGGTCGCTACAGCTAGGGGATGTGAACATTTCCGTGCGTGATTTGCGCGCTTTCAGGCTTGAAAAAATGGTGCCCATTACTGCTCACATTTGCTCACCTGCAACTCTTTGAATTTGAACAATGAGAATGTGTCCCAAGTACTGCAAATTCCAGCTTTGCCACCCCTGGTGCATTTGAGGCTTTCTACATTGACTTGAGCTGAGTGTCAGCGTTGCGCAGCAGTCTCTTCTGCCAGCGCCATTGCTGCGGCAGTGCAAGAAGTGAAGTGGAACTTACTATAGTCACATATGATCCATGATGGTTAACTGCAAAAATCTGTTCACTGCTGGCACCCTAAGATCTATGGTTCTCAGTATGTCTGACCTAACTGGAAGGAGCAATCACAGTCGCTTTGATGTGAGAAAGTGCCCAAACAACTAAATAATGTTCATGGGATAGGTATTATGTTTATGTTGGCAATCTTTTGGGCATGTTCAATCAATGCTTGATATATTGGGGAAACATGTCTGGTGTAAGTCCCTCAAGATATTTTCATGTGATATCATGTGATATGTTTAACACGTAACATTTTCCTCAAAAAGTAGCCATGACATGGATGCACCAGCTTGATGCAAGCAAGTGCCATGGGCACAAAACTGGAGCTGAACCTGCGACAGAAAAGAGTGCTGGAGCACCCAAGAAACAAGGACCTGATTCTAGGTGAGTAAGGTCCCAGTTACCATGCCCTGCTCTTATATATATATTATGTATTTATAATTGTAGAATATATACAATTGAAACTATATTATATACATAGAATGACTATAATGACTATATATATAATATTACTATACATATGTTGATCAAAATTCCTTTATCCAGGAACGGCCATTCTTCACAAACAAAGATTGCAGTTTTTACTTTCGCAGACTCAATGTTTATCTTCCTGGAAGCCATGTTGGTCAACCAGCCTCTGAAAAATGTCAGACTCATTCATCACCTGCCAAACATGGCCATAAATAACATGCAGCTAGCATCACTATTCATCCCTGGCAGATGGTGGCAGTTCTGGTTGCTGGTCGTGTTGGACCTTGGACCTTGAGATTCTTCCAGATTCTCCCCGTGATTCTCCGAAACTTTAAAACGCCTATCTGGGGACGGTGGTTTTTTGCCCTAGCCCTCTGAAAAATGATGGAGTGAAAGTCAGTTGGGATGATGATTCCCAATATATAATAATAATCAATTATGATGTATGGAAAGTCATTCAAAATTCCATGGTTCCAGTCACCACCAGCTATAAATCAATGACGATTTTTTGCCATGAATAGAACCCCCCAGAAATCTCGCCGAAGAATTCACCACCCTTTCCGGCGGTCCAGGCCGGGGCGCTAAGGGCAAGTAGCGCACATCATCCAGGGGTCGCGCGATCCAACTGTTGGTGTTGGAGCCATTGGGAAACTCCTCGGGCTCCGCGAGATCATGGGGGTTTGATACAGGATCGATGGGGGCTATCGAAACAGAAAGAGAAGTGATATCCATAGATGCTAACATATGCTAACTATATAATATATATATATATTATACTATACATATATATATTATACTATACATATATATATATTATAACTATTATATGACAATATGTTTGTGTTTGAGCGTCAAACACATGTTTCTTCGGATTGGTAGTATACTTCAAGACACAGAAAATTGAAGCCACAATCGTTTGGGGCTCTCTAGTCTAAAGCAGCCAAACAAAAAGGATCGGTTCTGCACGGAAGAAACAGAGTATAACGTGTCGAGGATCCAGGTCAAGGTGTGAATGTTGAAACGTCCATTCGAGTCAGTACCTTAATTAAGAAATTACACATTTTTTGGATTGATGCACCCGCAACAGCCTCTATTCATCTCTATGGAATCATTCTACACTTGATCTTCCAAAGTCAGCAAAGTCAAGTCTGTGCTAAACCTTGGAACATCACTGGAACATCACCAAGACACGGTCTCCACCCCCACCACGGTGGGATTTCCATTCGCATCTGTGTCCATCAACACCACATCGCCCACCATGCGATCGTCGCCCCAACTGTCTGGATGAGCATCCAGGAATCCTCCAGGAATCCGACGATTGACTGCTTCGGTCATGATGAAATTCATCCAAATAGAAATTGAACATCATTTGTAAATGGGGATATACTGGGAATATCATGGGATATGATATACTCTAATGATTGAAGAGTTGAAATAACTATGTTTTTTGTTTGACTGTAACGTGATTTAAGGCCACTCCATGTCATTGTGCTTGAATCCCCACACAAGGATGCAGAGAGGACATTCCAAGAAACAAAGTAGCAGTTAGTATCCAACTGGATCATATCCTGAAAGGAAGCCAGAAACTGCAGGAATATCTTGATCTTGACATGTCAAACATTGGTTCCATGGCCGGCTGGGACATGGTAGATGTGTTCACAACTTTGTTCTATATAAAACTGCCATGGACATGGCTCATTTCAATGATATCCACCCGAAAGAAAACGACGAAACCAGGGAATGGCTCCGTCAGACTTCATCACAACTTGGTCCTTGCCAACCGCCAAAGGGCTCCACGTCAGCTTTGTCAAAACCCATGTTCACCTCGCTTGGTTTCGGAAACACAAATTGGGATCAGCGTCCCAATTCTGATGTTCATCCCTCCAAAAATGCCTAGGTTTTGCACCATCCCTGCCTATTATGTATATACATCATATCAAGTCCATGACACTGTGCAAAATTAATCTGGTTACCCGATTAAATGAAACGCAGTTAAAGGGCAGCCACACCGTAGCAACACTTGGTGTCGCCAAAAAAGTTCTGCAAGAAGGGCGTGGTGTAGTTCCTGTGCAGATTTTAAGGGTCTCCATGGGTCTCCCAGTCACCAGTCATCACTATCATGGCGCTCGATACGTGAGTTGAAACCCACATTTTCCACCATCTTAGACCTGGCAGGTCTCATTTTCTCTGATGGTGTTTGGTCCCAGATATCCCCAGCGTGCTCGGAAAATCCCAAATGTGTATCCTGGGGTGTTGATAAGCCTCCTCATCCTGGTAGGTCCAAATTTGCTGAAGATAGACATGCACATTTTTGCGAAAGAACTCATTAGTAGTCTCGTTCAACAACTCAAACAAAACTGATAAGCGAAAATAGATAAACAATAATAAATAGATGCCTGAAGCCACCAATTTACAATCACAAATGAAAGTCCGAGAATCTAATGAGCAAGATTCTACCTTGGGCACAATGGAAATGGCCAAGCTTTTCAAAGTTCAGTAAGCCCACCCTGACCATCAAACCCTTAGAAACTATAAGTATACTAAGATACTAAGATATATTAAGTATATAAGTATACGCATAGTGTCAAACCCCATTTCATGAAATTGATGTTTTCCATGTTTTTTTTTTTCCCGGGGTATCCACAAAAAACAAGACCCCACAAGCTCCGTTGGCGGTCCTGATTTGATAGATACCATCCCAGGTAGCTACATCCACAGCCATGGTATTCAGCATGCCTTGGTGCCGCAGATCGAACATCCCAGGGATGTTCGGATAAACAACAGAATGGGGCCTCATAGTTATGTTTGTTGGCTTATAAACCATGAAACAAACCCCAACAAGTATAGATATATATATATATATATATCTACCATAAACCATGTTTTTTTTCGCCACTTATAAGGCAACTGAACGCTATCGAACGGGGGCCCCATCCTGTAGTGAGTTTCATTAGCTGGAATCTGCAGGAGATGAGTAGTTTTTCGACAAGACAATCCTGGTGAACACCCACAACAGAATGGATTAATGTGGATAAAACATCGTAAAACAATGTCAAAAACCAGCCATATGGATTGATAAATTATACCACCATATACCACCCATTTATGGTAAACAATGAAGATGGTTTAGTCAACAAAATACTCACATTATACACATAGGTTTATCTGAACATGTGGGGTTAAACACCAATCGATGTGGAAAAATATAGGAACACAATGACTACAGTCTTTAAAAAAAAAAACATCAACCCTATAAAACTTATAGTTAACCAAAACATAAACCAATTTAACTAGGAGAAGCCACCTTGTTGGGTACTCAATGTGATTGCTTTCAGATCACTCACGGATGCTTTCGTAGGTGGTTTTGCCATGATTGGCGAACGCTGGCGTCACTAGAGGCGGATCCCATAGGTTCTGGTGGCCCCAGGGAATGAAAACTATCCCTGCTCCATCTATGGAGTATTTACATGTATTTACCATGACTGGGTCATTTTGGGGGTAAATGTCGGTAAATATTCCGTGCAGCATATGGGGGGGATGACTGATGATAAATATTGATTACTGATGAATGTATACTAACCAATGTGTATCAACCCGCATCATAACTATAGTTGTTTTATGACCATAGATCCTGCGCTCGTTATACGAAAAACGCACCGCAACTTCGCTACTTCGCTCGTTGGTGCCCCTCCTTGCCCCATCTTTATCGAGCCCAGATGCTGAGGCCAGCTTTCAAATGAAAGAGAATAGGATCCTAAGTGCCACCATGTGACGACCCAAACTCATGGAACTTGGGCTTTAGATAGTTTAGGAATGTATCCAGGATATGTGCAAAGCAACAGTGAAACAGCTGGAAATCGAGTTTGACAGGCTTTTCAACAAATTGCATTGAATCACTGCAAACGGACCTGCAGCCATCCACATTGGTCACTCTGTGAAGAACTTGGGTGGAATTAGGATATTTTCCTATTACAAAGTATGTGCAAAACACAACAGGACCCATAAAGAAACGAATGCGGACAACTAGAGAAATCAACCAAAATAAACACTCACAACAGCCTACTGGACTTGCTCCAAAGTAGCAGCTGTCGATTCTAGGTATGATCGTGGCCAGCTGCTGGCAGACAGCAAGTCGAGAAATTTGTTATGTTTGCTTTGAGACGCTGAAAAAAAAAATACGTAAGGTGTCCTGGGTTCTCAATATTGAGACAACCCAATGTTGACACCATGAAGCATCCCATTAGCGCCATATCATCTACATGGCTCAAAATTATCAAGCCTCCAAGCCTCCAAAATAGATAAATTCAGATGCTCGAAAAGGGCTTGCATTTGTGGGTCCTAAATTTGCCCAGTAGGTCACGATACCCATCTGCTGTTTGCTTGGATGCGCATTCCACTTAGTAAGTGATTTATACAGCCCATTAATAAGACCAACTGATAGGACTGCATTGGGATATTCTACATTTGACGTCATTTACTGTAAGTGCTTCATAATTGGTTACTTCATGATTTATGGTTCTGAAACCGACTTAAAGATTCGTACTTAAGTTCTCGCAGCGGCCAAGAAGCTAGGCGATGCTTCAAGCTGGATTCGACATAGAGAGGAATATTTGCCATGAATTCACCACCTCACTGCTAATCAGGAGTGAGGTCGGTGATGTGATTTTTTTTGACCATTTTGAGGGCCCTTAATTAGTTCCGTTACTGAGGGATATACGTTCATGAAAATATACGGATGTATACGAAACGTGAGGAAAAATCCAATAAACATAAGGGATGATCTACTGGTAAAAATGGGAGAGACATCAGCAAATAGGCGATATACCAGCAAACAATGGAATATAAACTTATACAGCTAGGGCCGTATCCAATGATAGACTGAAGAATTTAAGGCTCTGAAAACTCAATTTGCCAACTCATACCCTTTGGTAAACGTTTACATAACTATGGAAAGATCCACCAATTTATAGCCGGGTAAATACACTATTTCTATGGCCATGGCTTCAATAGCTATGCTGTAAATGGCCATTTTCAATAGCTTTTTGATGCTTTTTGTATGTTTAGCAGGCCGGGTAACAACATGAACATATTCACTGACATATTGATTGGGAGTATCGTCCGTGCGGAGATTCGGTATGATTCGGTGATTCTGTCCACGAAAGATAATCTGGTTGGTGGTTGTAAAAAACCTACCATTGAGGTTGGTACTGTTTTGATATTAATGGTTAATATTAATGGTTATTATATAGTTAATGTTGGTTAATAAGAATCTGGTTGCTGGTTTCAACCTACCCCTCTGAAAAATGATGGAGTTCTTCAGTTGGGATCATGAAATTCCCAATATATGGAAAAATAAAAAATGTTCCACACCACCAACCAGATAATGTATGCAATGAGCATTGAGTCTAGGATAATGTGGTATCCTATCCGGTCTGATCAAACACAGTAACCTGAAAAATCCATCCAATAAATGATATTTTCCCATGACACACATGGTATCCAATTTACATGGAGTCTAAGTACATGTGGTATTCTATCCTGGTCAAGTCAAATCCCATCCGCATATGAAACACCCCATTCTGTCATTCTGTCCCTTAAATATGTGCAAAACCACAACAACAACAACAACAACAACAACAGCAACAACAACAACAACAACAGCAAATAAACACACGATTTCTGGGGGCTGTTTCTCCAGAAGGGGGACGAGATTAGCGACAACTCCGAAAGAACAGTGCTTGTCTTGCAAGTCAATTGGGATAACTCTCCCCTTCTAAAATAGTTGGGTGGAACATGTAAAAAATAATACACGCACATTTAAAAGGTCATTCAGTCATTCATTGTTCTTTCCTGAATGTCCATACATAGCACAACAAACCACTTTAGCTGCATTTAATCAAAGTTCGCCGCATGGCAACCTTGACTTCTGCCTGTCATCGCATTTTTCGGGGATGGCAACCCTTTCTTCCGGACTATCAATTCTTGCTGCTGCAAGATCCATTGCAAATCTTAGATGCCTTGCAAAAAAAAAAGAAAAACACGTTTTACTCGGGCATGATATCTTGCCCCATTTTGCTGAACATGAACCAATTCTTGTTGAGAACCACTAGTTTTACCCAGCATATATAATACTGCCACAACCGAAGGCTCTGCTTGGGGGTTTCATATTTCTCCGTGGAACTTGATCCAGATGCTTTTTGGCCCAAAACCTTCTGAGTCCTTCTGGGTTGGGAAACATGGAGAAAGAATGGGATATTGCCGATATGTTTTCGAAACTCCCAATAATGGGTGGTTAAGAACTGGATTCTCATAGGTTATGATAATTACCAATAGATGAAGTGTAGGCTAACAAAACCCCATTGCCACCTATCAAACAGAGTTTGGTCACTGCTAATGTGCACCACCATCGAACATATCAACATATGCAGCCTCTGGGCAAAAACATGTGGTTCACCATGGGACAACAAATGCCATAAACCTGCAATTGTTTTTTTTCATACCATGCATTTCTGGTAAGTCCTTCCGAAACTGGGGTGCCCAAAAATTGCAACAATGATAATCATATTCCCTATTCAACTATGTCAACCGCCAACTTTTGGGCTAAAGCCCATTTTTGGAGGAAGCCAAAAGATACCCATCCATGTAAACTACCTACCCAACGCGACACTTCGCAAGCAGGACGGGACCGTGCCTGCACTCTCCAGCGAGGCTTGTGCAGTGGAATAGCTCATATACCACCCAGAGCCGGACCTCCAGGACCGCGCAGGACGGGGCGGCAGGGGCATTTTTGTTTAGCTGTAAGATTCCATGATAATCTGATACTGGTTATCTTGTAAGGCTTCCCCTAATGGATGTAAGATGGTGTAAGTAAAGGTAACACTATTGTAATGATTGATAATTAGAGGGTATAACGCCGACAATACTCTCTAACAATTGGTATTTTGGGCACTGCTCGCATGCGCTTCAGTTTTGGGGCACCAAGAGTGCTTTCTTGGAGGTACAGTTCCAAGATTTTTTTTTACCTGGATTTTTTAGTTCAAAGCATACCAGGAGAATATCTCGACTGTGGTCGTCTATATTCACCTACATGACTGGGTCATGGTAATGTGGTAAATGTTGCTACCGGATTGTGCTCCCCAGTGATGTTTGTTGGTTTATAAGCCCCATGCAAACTATAGCTATAAGTATCATTAAGTATCATACACCATAGTCATAAGTATCAGAAACCATAATTATCATAATCTAGAAATTGAAGATGGCACCTCATAGTTCTAATAAAGAAGCGTTCGTAGCTATGAAGAAGTGCTTAAGGCTCCCCATGTCTCAAAACAACCTGATGGCCTAGGGTTGAGAGCCTGTTCGCTTTTTTGTTGAGTTCTTCTTGTTGGGATCAAATGAGTCTATCCATCGTCCGGGGTTCCTTTTTCAACAAAAGGTTACCGCTAGGTCTAGGTTGTCGCTAAGGTTATCGCTATATTAGAACACCGTGATGATCAAGAAAGGAAAAGAAAAGGGAACGTGGAACAAAAAGGACAATTGAAAAAATAAAGGAAAAAGGAAGGAAAGAACGAGAAAAGGAAACGGAGGAAGAAGAAAGGACAAATTAATCAAAAGGGAAATTAAATAACATATGTAAATGAAATGCAGAATTGGATTCAATATCAATTTTGATTTACTCCAGAATTCAAAAGGGAAATAAAAGGAAAATGGAAGGAAAGACAAAGAAAGGAAACAAAGGAATTACAAAATTCAAACTCAAGTAAAGCAAATAACGGAATTTAGAATTAGATTCAAAACTATGTTTTAATTTAATTCCGAGTTTGGTTGCGTTTAGTTGAGTTTAATTCTACTGCTTTGGGACCTGGGAGAAAAAACAACTGCCTGCAGAAAGCAACGGTTCAACCATCTTGGACATTAAATGGTATGGCAACTGCAAGAAACGTGGGCAATGCAGGTTGAATTTTCTTCATCAATTTTGCCCATCGCGTGAAGGCATACAGCAATATTTGGTTGGTTTACACAAGTTTAATGCACTTTCATATGGTTGCAATTTATCTTTTCTTTGGGGGGGGGCTATCTGGTTTGGTGCACTTTCTCAACACAACCGGACCCTCCCTTACTAAAGTAGTCTACCCTTATTTTGACCGCATCTCATATATACACTGTTTATATTTATTGATGTATATATATATAGGATACAGTACTATATACACTGTTTATATTTAGTAATGTTGATGTATATACGTGTATATATATATATATCATATCTAAGGTAAGGGCTAAAGTAAGGAAATCTACCCCCAAGAAAATGGCTTGACATGTACCTGACCACCATACCCACCAAAGTATCTGCATCTTGATGGGGAAACTGAACCAATAGACCCCCCTATCATTCATGGAAAAATAACCATGGTTCCCGAGCATTTCCCCGGAAAAGTAACCAAACATGTAGGTAAGTACATTGTACAGTAGCATGGATAATAGGTACATGAAGAAAATCCGATACCCTTCAGAAAAAACAAAGCGAATCCCCGAACACAATTGGAGGTTCAAAGCTGGAGCATTCTCGAAGAAACTGGTGGATTTTCCATGTTGACACCGGAAGGCAACATCCAAATATATCCAAATATATCATTGGTTAATATTTGTGATATAATTACCCATGATATCAGCATTCATCCCGATTTTGAATGGTTGTTTATTCACATGGAAACAACAAAAAAAAACAGCGCCAAGTGACACCGCCC